GGTTCCACGAGGAACCTAGTTGCTGGGTTCCACGAGGAACCCAGAACATCATCCTCCTAGGTTCCACGAGGAACCCAAAAACTGGGTTTCACGAACCCAGTCGCCCTAACCCTTGGATTCGATGATTCAAAGGATTCATGCGTTCAATTTCGACATCGAGATCAACGTCAAAGAAAGAGATGGAGGAGTTTGAATTTTTTTTTTTTTTTACAGATTTTGGAAGTGATTTTTATGAATTTCTGTTCTTTTGTTTTTGATCTTTTATGGTGGTTGTTTGATGATTGGTGAAGGTGATGAGAGTAATGATCGACAAAGATGGTGGGAAGATGAAAATCTGAGGGGGGCTGGAGAGAAGCTGAGAGAAGAAGACTTTCTTTTTTTTTTTTGGTTGCTTGGGGATTGATGAGGGTGATGGTGATGAGAGTGATGATCGGTGATGATGGGATGATGAAGATTGGAGTCTAAGGGGGGGCTTGCAACTAGGTTTTTTTTGCCGAACACAGCTCTGGGTTCCTCACGAACCCAGATCCGGGTTCCACAGAGCTGGGTTCGTGAGGAACCCAATTTGAGGAACCTAGTTTGTACCTTTCTTTCGCCTTTCTTTTCTGTGATTGTTTTGGTTTTGATAGAATAATAAGATAATGATTTGATTCTTTGATTGGTTCTCAACTTTTCTTATAAATGAATTAAAAGATTGTTCCTTTTTTTCAATTTGAATCAACCTCCATTAGAACCATGGGTGAAATCTTTTTTGATCTTTCATGGAGGTTGGCTTCCACAAGGAACCCAGCTCTGGGTTCGTGAAATTCGACTTTGGGTTCATGAAACCCTAGAACCTGGGTTTCTTGCAGAATCCAGGAGAATGATGAAGAAGACAATGAAGATGGTGTCTAGGATGAGGAGAAAGAAGAAGGCAAAAAATTAAAGTTAATTATGTTTTAATTCATTTAATTTTTTGTTCTATTTTTTTTTTTTTGGTTGGGAGGTATTCACAGAAAATCATACCATCTCATCATGTCACATCATAAAAAAATCATACATATTGGATTAATCACGTTACATAATATCTACACGTCACGATTTAGATGCCATATATTGAATTTTTTAAGGTGTTGTGACGACTCATTAAAATATTAATTTTTTATGGATTTTGAAAAGTAGAGAGTATGAATAAGGAAGAAAAATTTTAAAAAGTATTGATTACAAAAATAAAATAAATGAAAGATGCAAATAAGGGTTTGACCTAAGCAAAAGCCCTCTGTCCCAGAACATATATTTTACAATCCAAAGAACAACACATGCTCTTCTTCATGAAAAGCATTGAAAAGTAGGAAAACTAGAATTTCTGAAAAAAAGAAAAAAAGAATGGAATGACGTGGCGAAGAGAACCCGACACCGAAATACCAATTTGGGATTGAGAAAAGAGCAGGAGCTCCCTTCACCTCATTCATTCATCCATCACAAATTTCTGCTGTCTCCACGCCTCCGTTCTACTTTCCAATCGAAACCCATCATTCTCGGCCTCCCAATCTGTTTATCTTCACAATTTCGCAGTGGCAAGTGGAAATGCTAACGATAGTAGCGGTGGCCGGAGTTTGGATACGGTGAAGGTCTCCGACTATATGGGAACGGGCTCGGACCCGGACTCGAACTCGAGTGGATGGAGCCGAGGTCGGGGTTTGGTGCTGAAGACGCTGGTCTTAATCGGTGGCGCCGTCTTGCTCAAGAGACTCACCAAATCCACCACCCGTTGGGACCATGCGAAAATCGTTTCTCGATCACTTTCCGGTGAAAAGGTGCAATCAGTTTTCATTTCCCCCCCCTCTTTTTCTGTTTACCCTTTTATTTGTTCGTTTTAAAAAAGGGTACTTTCTCTTTGTTCTTGTGGTTAGCTTTCGAAGTACCAAGCGAGTAGGGATCCAGATCATTACTTCAACATCAGGTACCCTTCTAAATCCATTTTGTTTATATGGGAAAGACTTAAATGCAATTCCTCAATTTAGCTTTGATGATTTTTTTCTTTTGGGTATACATATATGAACTCTGGAAGCCAAAGGAGGAGTGTGGGATACTGAAAGTTTGAATTGTTGGGGGATTTATAGGATTTTGTTTTATCTTTTGTAATTGTTATTGAGGTTAGGATTGCCTCAAGAATAATACTTGTACAAAAACTGAGCATTTACTTGGGAAGCCCGGTTTTCCTTTGGTTGAGAAATCTTTGAGATAGTAATAAACTAATAATTGAGGCCCTCTACGTTGTATACTGATGTTATATAAACCAACGGATTGCTGGCCAATGGTTTTGATAAGTTTAGAAAGTTTCTCTTCACAGAAATATTGCATGCCCTGCAGCGGAGATGGTGGATGGTTCAAAGGTTTTATATCTTGAACAGGTTAGTTTAATTCACTGTCCATGACTTCATGCTTTTTTTTTTTTTTTGGGGGGGGGGAAGGGGGTGGTTTATCTTTTCCCTAAGTTCAGTTAGTCTCCATGTCTCCATCTATTTTATTTTACTAGTGATCTTTTTCTTTGTTTTACTACAGGCGTTTTCAAGGACTCCTCAGAAACCCTTTCGACAGGTACCCTACTTCTTTTACTAGCCTTACTGTCAGGAAATTCATTTTTTGTACATAATCTTTATGGTATTATTAGTTTTCATTCGTCCTTCTTTAATTCTAGTCATCACTTCCCTTAAAAAGAATTTGTTCAATGGACTTCACAGATGAGAGAATCTATAAATTATCGAAACTGGATAGGGATAGAAAGAATCAGGAAGTTATATTCCTACATTATTTCTTGAATGGTTTCCTTTGATCTCTTAATTTTATCTTTGGAGCTCCTTTGCCTTACAGAATTCTGACAGTTATATGATTGCAGAGATTTTGTATGGTGAAGCCATGTCCAAAAGATTTGAAATGTGATGTTGAGGTATGCTTACTTTTCTGATTTACGATTTATTATAACAATATTCTGTTCTATATGTTTTACGTTGAATTATGACCATTTTTAGTGCTTCAAAGTTTTTCCCTTATATTTGAGGGCATTATTTTTTTCCACGATCAATCTACAACTGTTATTGTTATGATCATTACGAAACAATAGTAAGCATTGCGAAAAATATTCATCTGAAATATGATTACCATTTATGTAGATTTATTCCTATCTTTCAAACTTTGAATTCAGAATGAAAATTCAACTTGATAATTGTTGAACTCCTGTGGAAGACTACTCGGTTTTATACGATATCTCCAGAGCTAGTTAAGATACAAGTATCTCTGACCTTTACTTTATTGCACAGGTGAGTACATATGCAATCAGAGATGCAGAAGAGTACAAGAATTTTTGTGATCGCCCTAAGGATCAGCGCCCACTGCCTGACGAAGTTATTGGTGTAAGCCTTTTCATGTTAAGAGTCTGCTGGTTTGCTTGAATGAACATGGGCCTTTTACATTTCGTTGTTTGGTTTGAATCATGGTTATTTTCAGTTATTGATATAGAAGAAGACCTGCTTGCTTCAGCAGTTTGAACTTCGTCATAGTTTTTCCTATTCTTAGGTTTCCAATCAAAGTGCAAGCATGAACTTACTAAGTCAAAATGTTAACCTTTTAGGCCTTTCTTCTGTCTGAGAAAATTCAAGCTAAATAGCATGCCTCTTAGTTGTCTTCTGTTACATGGGAATATTAATAACCTCTTGAAATTTTGGTTATCTTTTGTCAATTTTTAGTAGTTAGAACCAGGCCCATTATGATTCTGTGGATTAGGAAACGACTGTAAAACATTGGAATTTTTGGATGATTATCTGTTTTTGTTCTTTTGTCCTGTCCTGTATTTTCTTTTTCCTTCTCAAAGCAAGAAAGTCATTAATAATCATTACAGTTACTTTATATGGGTTGTTGAAAGGACTGGAGGCCTCATACTCCTTTGAAACATATGTAATTGCTTTTACAGTCCTTGAAAAGAAAAATAAAAATAAAAAAACAATACAGTTACCTTGCAAACAAGAACTCTTACTTGAATTTGAGAGTGAATACCAAGATTTGGGCAACAGTGGTTTCCAACTGCTTACTTTCTCTTGCATTCTCAGGATATTGCAGAACATTTGACAACAATATACCTCAAACGCTGTGAACGGGGAAAACGCTGCTTATATGAAGGTTCAACACCATTGGGAGGATTCCCAAATTCATGGGTATATGCTTCTCTCTCTCTCATGTTGCCATATCTGAGACTTTCTTGTTTTGCTGCTGCCGCTGCTGCTACTGCAAATCTGGATTTATTTTGGCGTGATTTATTTTACATCATGTTGGTGGGGGCAGCATTCACAAGAATGGGTACCCAATTGATTGAGATTTTCCAATTTCAGTGTGATGCCCTTCTAATTCATTTTTCCTACAACCTTTATTGTTGACAGAATGGCGCGACATACTTTACCTCAGAACTTGCTATTTTGAAGAATAATGAAATACATACCTGGGATAGGGGTTATGATGATGACGGAAATCAGGTCATTTTCCGTGGTCTTGTTTAGTGCTCCATATTATCGACAATGGAATGAAAGTCTTCTCTTAAAACTTCTCTGTTGTATCTGTTTCAGGTTTGGGGAGTGAAGGAAGGTCCTTACGAGTTCAAGCCAGCACCTGCATCCAGTAACAACACCATGTTGTCTCCTTTAAATTTCCCCACTTTGGAGACCATGGAGAAGAGGATAGATGGTTCATTTGTCTTGCAAGAATGACCACGTAATCTTGTGACCATAAATGTGTAGATTTTGTGTGTTGTTGGATAAATTTCCCCAAATTCAATTAAATGTCTTTTTTTCATTTCCCCTATAGAAATTATAAGTCATTATTCATTTCTCTTCAATCATTTGTGTCATGCAAAAGCTCTACTTAAATTCTTTCATTTTCTACTTTGTTCGTTTGCTATTTTAAAAATTGGTGTTATTATTCATTTCTCTTCGATCAATATCTCGAAAAGGATCATAACATCCAACAATGATGCAATTTACTGATCTAATGCATTAGGAGGAATGGAGATATACATTTCATACATAATCTGTAGCCAAATAAGACTAACAAGCCTGATTAACGTTCAGAGAGACAATGAGCTAGCCGTTTTGAAGGATGTTTGACATTACAACAACATCAATTACATTACAACTGCTACCAAGGTTTGAGGTCACCAACGGGGCCTGCAGTCCAATTTAAGATCTTTTCACCTGGTTTCAAGTAAACAGTGTTATCATGCGGCAACTTCCGGGCAAGCCCATTCAGAACTTGATGGAAAGCATCTCCTGGTTGAGCAGGTTGTGGGAATAACATTGCCTGTTTCATTGAAGGGTTTGCAAGCAGTCTCTGCTTTCTTAGTATTACTTCTGGTGGGATCGATGTGAGTATGGTGTCCAAGTTGGGAACATCCTTCTCATCAACGAATACACCAATTTCTTCCCACGGGATTGCATCGGCAAAGGGTAGAACAATCTCGTCAGCTATGATGACAGGGATGCATCCAAATATCACAGCTTCTACCAATCTAGGGCTCCATGGAGCCCACCCAAGTGGACACAGGCAAAACACGGCACGTTGCATGTCCTCATAGTATGTTGTTGGGTGCTCAGTTGAAATGTCAAAGAGTGGATTGTCCTTGAAGTTCTCCCAGACTGCTGCTCGAGCACCTCTGCAAAATTGTTGTGAAGTTGACCTCAGAGACAAGTTGGCTAAAACTTACCTTTACGTTAGTAACACTAGAACCCCCAACAGGAATTCAACAAAAACACCATTAAATTCATTATATTCTTTTTCTTTTAAACCATAGTATTTATTGTATCCTTGTTTAGAAAAACTGCCCTGTCACCTGCAGCTGCACTGTAACACTATCTACATGCTATAACATCTCTGGTTAACATGTTTTGCTACTGTAGTTTATCATAAACTAGCTCCTTTTTTGACAATTGCCTCAGGAAATGCTTCTAGGAAAAGATGCAAAATCTAGGACAACTAAAAATATCATTTAGTAAACCATAGAGAAGCATACCTCGCATAATAACCGCCTTCTGGGTCATTTCCCACGTCATAAAACAATCCTCGGAAGTAAACAAAAATGGACCTAGGAGTTTTTTCAGGAATCAGGTGTGTATGCATTTTCTGGGGTGGAGCATATGGTGGAATTGTAATTGAACCCTCCTTCAAGCAGACATGATTTCGCTGTCCAAAAGTCTGAACCAATGTAGCACGTTGAAGCAATGGAAGAATTTTTCTTTCAATGGCCTTCTCTTCCTGCATCAATTGAACAGGGAACATTAATTATTAGAAAACAGAAGTGAGATGAAAAATCACATTTCAAGACATTGAACAGACTTTCCTTTCGACACATCACAAAAAAGCAAAATATTAGAAATTCAGAATACGGGCAAATGTACAATGCATTAGAAAATAGATGGTAGGAATTAAAGAAGAAACAAGCAATATTTACTTGATAATGGAAGCATGCTCCAAAGTCATGTGGCACCACAAAAAAATGATCGGCACCTTCTGTCCGATTCCAGTAAGGCCAGTTCGAAGAAATGAGCTGAATTGCACTTCTCATCATTCGTGGTGACTTAAATGGCAGAGGCAGGCCATTTGGTGTCAAGTCACAAGTAGTGTATACAGGTGTGTAAAACCAATCAGCTTCCTCAGGATTGAGGGTTCTAACAGGACTAGATAATAGAAACCTATGCATAAAGATCTCAGCTGCAAACATATGGGTAAGGCATCTTGGATCCTTCTGCAAAATCTTCTTGTTGTATTTGCTAGGAAGCTCATAAACAAAGACCTTCAACCTTCCAACTGGGTCATCTTCCAAGACATCACCAGCACTACCTGCATTTTTGTCACTCCGATTTAAGTACTCAACCCATTAATTAGTGTCTAAGACTAAGAGACACCATAAAGCCATACTCTCATAGGTGTCTCATTACGTGTTTAAAGTAGTATCTGAGACTTAATAAGAGAATCTGTGTTTAATTATTTCCCTAAATTAATTTTGGCTGAATATTATCACCTTAGTACGTGTCCCTTCACTTTCTCCCACCTAAAATAGGCAAAATACACTCTTCATAACAGAATATCATTACATTTCCAATTGTTTCATGCTAGCTAGACTTTGTCCAATAGATCTGTGGCATGATCTTACTAGAAATGCAGGGATAACTAATTAAAACCTTTCCAAGCTAAACCTAAAATTGGAAATTGTACAATAGTTTTTTTTTTTTTTGGATAAAATGTAAAAATTTTATTTATCCAATAAACTATTCTGTACACTCAAGCAACAGCTGCTGCTACAATCAATGTATAACTGCAGTTTTTAAGGACATCCTACTGCTAAGATTGCATTGGTAGCTGTAAAATGTTATTTATCCAAAAGAGGGAAACCATAGTGATAAGCTAGATAATAGTTGCAAAAATACCATAGTGATGAAGCTAGATAATAGCTGCAAAAATATCTATCTTGAAGATCAAGGTTCAACTCAAAGCAGATCCCAGAATTCCATCACTCCAGAAATACATTCAAGTAAAGGGAAACAAACAACACCATTTAAAGAAAAAATCCCAAATTCAGTTAATTGAACCTCATTGCATCAACAGCGCCACCAAAACGTCAAATCTAGAACTTCAAAAACAAAACCAAGCAAAAGTGGAAAAAAAGAGATAAAAACCAGATATTTATAGCATAAATAGGAAATACTCCACCTGAAATTCGCTCAGTGTGATGACTGCGGCCCAGCTTGAAAGCACCAATCCTCAAAACAAAGGCAGCAACGAGAACCCCAACAAAAACCCACCTCCAAACCCTCATTTCTTCTGGAGCACCGCCTCTCCCAACGCTCAAATCTCCCAAAAACTAGCAAATAACCAGCTCGAACAAGAACAACCCAATACCCAGAAGTGAACGACGAGGAGAACCCAGATGAGGAAAAGGGTATATCAGCAATGGAGATTACAGCTGCTCTGTCACCGGAACAAGTGGTTAAGATGGAGATCTCTTAGGACATTGGGATCTTGAGGGTGCCCCAAAAATGGGTTTTTCTGAATTTTTAACGTCTGTTAGTTTGACAGAGAAGGGCAATCAAATTAGGTTGAAG